TTTTCTGAAGTTCCGATCATTATATAAAACTCGGTTTCCGAAATTTATTATAAACAAGTGACATTTATGTAAAACTCAAAAAAAAGAATTTATATAAATTCCAATAAAAAGCAACAACTTCCGTCAAATTTCGACTAACAAAAATGAAGATTTATTATTATTATTTTTAACGAATGTTAAATTTTCTATTAACAGGATTTACGGCCAAATATTCTTTCGCATTTTTCCTATCCGAAATTTTATATTTTATTGGCACAAATCTACTGAGAATATTATGCACTGGAATTATGCAATCTCGACCTTCAGGGTAAAATTCAGTACCCCAAAGTTCGACATTGCAAATTTCATCATCTTTAATACTGAAATAATAACGAGAATTCACTGGTTGATACCATTGAATGAATGCCAAATTATGTTCCAATTCTCCATCCGGTAAGTCAACCTTGTGGGAAAAAAAGAATTGAACTTGTCCAGGATAACAATCGACGCTACCGTCACAGGTCGAAAAGTAAAAAATCAGGCATCAATCAGTCACCAATCGGTCACTAATCAGGTACCTGATTGGTGACCGATTGGTGACTGATTGGCATTTTCGCCAAATACCGTCACCAATCAGGCAGTTTGCTAACTTTTGATCCAGTGATCAGAAAAGAATGAAATATAGCTCATTGGAATCGTCTCAACAAGACGAATCTAATGGTAGTAAAATCGCATCTCTAGAATTAATAGTTAATAAAATATTAAATAAAATATAAATGATACATTTTATTTTTATATTTTACTTAATTTCTCATCAAGTATTAATCCTAGAAATGCGATTTTACTACCATTAGATTCGTCTTGTTGAGACGATTCCAATGAGCTATATTTCATCCTTTTCTGATCACTGGATCAAAAGTTAGCAAACTGCCTGATTGGTGACGGTATTTAGCGAAAATGCCAATCAGACACCAATCAGTCACCAATCAGTCACCAATCAGCTACTGATTGGTGACTGATTGGTGCCTGATTTTTCACTTTTCAACCTGTGCGTCTTGTGTTATAAATTTGGCAAAACATACGAGTTCTTTACATGTCGAGCTGACATATTTGACCCAAATGTCTCTGAACCGATTCTACATCTACCGAACTATTTCATTTTGACGGAAATGATCCTTGAATTCTCGTGACCTTCTCCGAATAGCTTTTGAAACTCAAGTGTTTCATAAGTCACCAAATAGTATTTGACCAGTAAATCAAGTATTGAATTTGACATCACTACATTTTCAGAGGCGGGACCCAACATTTCACCTGGAAACGACTCGCTTCCAGTGACTATTGATTGTTGAATATTCTGCGAATTCAACCAAAATCATTCCATTTCATTGGCTGAAAATTCGTCAGCCTCTGCCAAAGATCCAACAAAAGCTCGGTTATTGAGAAGTTCTAGTCCCTTTACATTTTCTCCAGAATTTATAATACTATCAATATGGATATCAGCCATCATTCGTCACATAATTTCTGGTTTTATTTTCCTATGACTGTTCGGTAAGACACCTAAAATTTAAAATTATGATTATGCATAAATTAAGAATAAGAATATTAAACCTAAATAAATAGTTATAGTTTACCTAATACACCTAAAGATGGTCATCGGTCCTACAGGTCCTACTCAGTCCTGAACCGGTCGGTCCCAGGACTTGTAGGACCAGACCGCGGTCTTTCATTTTTTCTTAGTACAGTAGGACCGGTCCTGAGACTGACCTGGTCTTTGTATCGGTCTTTATATAAAAGTTATTACATGCATATTGAAACTTCTAGAAAAGACTGTCTCCCTGTCTCCAAGGAAAAAAAGAAAATTAACGTTAATAAAGTATAGTAAATCCGTCTTTATACATGTTGTTTGCTTATAATATACGTCTGGAATGGTTCCTATAAATTTATATAATTAGTGTTCATTTATAAAGGAAGACTGTTCCAGTAAAGTAATAAAAGAAAAAAGAAAAATGACTGATCGGTCTTAAAAAAACTGCAGTCCTTAAAAAGACCATCGGTCTTATTGTATGTGTTACAGGACCGAAAGACCGCGGTCCTACATCAAGATGGACCAGTCCGTCTTTTTAAGGTGTAGAACTGCGAGACTGTGATCTTTTAGGACTGATGACCATCTTTAAATACACCATTCATGCGTTCGAAGGAGAAACACCAGAATGCGTATAAAGGTCCAAAATCATACGTACATTCACTCAAATGAAGTGAAAGATAAAGATTAGGAGTAATTTTATCTCGTCCATAATGTTCCTCAATCAACTTCACAATTTCAATCAATCTCTCATGCGATTCTCTCACAGCATCAAGTTCTAAAATTCGACTTACGAAAGCTATACAAACTCTTACAAAATGATGGAGAATTTTCCGATCATGTACTGTACCAAAAGATGACTCTATAGTGATACCGTAGCGTAAATTGTGAAAAAGATTTGCCATTGATCTGCTGTAAAATTTGAAAATCCTTCTCTGCAATGGATTTTCCCAGGGATTTGTCCCAAATCGGATGGAATCTGAAACTCATCCATTTTTTTTTGAATTTTTATAAACGATTGTTAGTTCAAAATTCCTTCATCAACCCAAATTCTTTTCACTATCCATCTCGCGATGCCTAGAAATAAGCAGTACATTGGATCGACAACAATGAACCTTATAGGGTCGAAGTATGACAACCGCAATAATTCTGACCATCTAACTCCAGTATCTTTCGTAAAACATTTTCGTGAAGCATTAGAGCTACAACGTCACCATTTCATGTGCATTTTCATGAAACTCGGCCAAATCTCGAGTAATAAACCATTCATCTATATTGTCCATCCCGGCAAAATTATTTTGTCGATTCTCATAATTTGCTCATTTTTTGCACTAGTGATACGATGCAAATGCTGAAATATGCCCGCATATCTTCCTTGCCACAGGAACATCACACGAAACTAGTACTAAAGCTGTACGAATATTTTTTCCATTTTGGCACTCAAATGTTCGATTTAGAGTTATTCCACTCCATAGTAATTCTAAATCATTGACAATTGATGCTAAATAGTGATTGATTTGGTGTAGGCTCACTTCGTTAGGACCTGGTAATATTCTGAGAATTAATAAATTTTCTCTTTTAAATCGAATATCCTAAGGCAAGTTGCAAATGGTAACATATATCACACCGGTACTGTGAATTGTCCTTCATAAGGTTGAAACCAATCCGCATTCAGCATTAAACCGAGGTGTGAATCTGCAACTTCAGGCTGGAAAAAATTAGGCGAATCATGATAAGAAGTATCCTTAAATGTTTTCCACACTTGACTATCGTAAATGTTGGTCAATATATTTTCAGAATGTGATCGATCAGACCAATGTCTGAGTGACCTTTCAAATCCTGATCGAAGATATAGGGTTGCTAATTGTTGACGAATTGTAGAAAATGGATAAATCATCTCAATTCGATTTGACACTTTATTTAATAATCTTATTTAATGAAATAAAGGAGTTTGGCACTTCTGGCATCTCAATGAATTTGGAAATTCGATATGTTGACATTTCATAATGGCAAGAATTTCATTTTGACGAAACTCCTCTACTTCTTGTTTGTTGTATAATTTGTGACACTTCGTACATGCCGCAAAGCAATGAAATTGATCTTCTATGTTGAGAATATTTCTCACTTTATATAAAGTGATGGGAAAATTTTCAAATGCGGTATTGCCAATTTCATCCAAAAACAGTTTTATGAACTTTATTAGTGATTCAGTTGCTATTTCTGGAATGTTAAATCTTATTCAAAATTTCATAATCCATATTAAAATCCATAAAAACTTACTATCATCGCTAATTGGAGTTGGAGTGACATCTGGGTCTTGATATAATTCAAAAGAAGGGCATGAATAATCTTCAAAAGTTTCAGAATTGTTATTTTCTGATTAGTCATCTCCATTTGATTCATTATCTCCATTTGATTCATTATCTTCATTAGTGTCTTCGCTTTGATCTTTGGCCGTACTTTCTCTCAGTGATAAATCTTGTTTAATGTTACCGATGTTACCAATGGAAACTCTAGTCGAAATGTACCTTAATCTACGTCTTCGAGGCAATCGGTCAACTCTTTGCTCATTAAAATAGTCAATTGAGATGATTCATCATTAATATTTTCAGTATTTTCCAAAACTTCAGATGGTTCGATATCCCGAATTTCAGTATTTTCCAAACTTGCGATAGTTCATTATCCCGAATTTCAGTATTTTTGATAATTACTTCTGAAACATCTGACGAAAGTTGGCTTGATAATTCATGTCGATTCTTTGTGCGAGAAGCAACTAACATTCCTTCGCAATTGCTACAGAAACAGGGTACTTTACGAATCCTTGGCTGAACAATTAATCGAGTAGTAACTTGAGGTGATCTGGTAGTAATAGGATTTTCATCAAATACACTAGATATCATTCTTTTTCGTCCCATTTTGTCAAAAATTTCAGATAATTTTGATAATTATGGAATTGTATCAAAATTTGTTTCGATTCAATAATTATCATATAATTGTTGCTAGTGAAGTTTCGACTAACGAATTTTCAACTTGAGCGATCAACTTAAAAGTGATTTATCGAATTCTCATCAAACTTTATGAATTTTCCATCAACTTTAAATGATGTATTGAATTCTCATCAAACTTTACGAATTTTCCATCAACTTTAAGTGATGTATTGAATTCTCATCAAACTTTACGAATTTTCCATCAACTTTAAGTGATGTATTGAATTCTCATCAAATTTAAGTGATTTGGCGAATTTCACATCAACTAAAATTGATTTATCGAATTTCCATCAACTTAATGTAAAGTAACTTATCGAATTATTAAGTCGTAATCCACGAATAATCGGTATCAGATCATATGAGTTGTGTATAGTAAATTTGGGGATAAGATACATTATAACCTGTTGTAATAAATTTAAATCTCTTGTTGACAACCTTTAAAAACTGTCATAATGGCTCAAACTTTACGCATTACTTTAATAAAACCAGGAACTATAGTTCCTGAACTTCACTATGGACCTTATTATTTTTATTGGTGGATAATTTCAAATGAAAATGAAACTTTATTTCCGATTAGGCTGGGACAACAGACTAAAGTTTGTCTTAATGAAGTAGATTTCATTTTAACTATACAAACTGGTTCTGGTAATAACAAATTAATGCCAATGTATTGTTGTCAAAGTGGTTTACATGTTGTTACAGAGCTAAGTTCTACAAAGGCTATTTCTACAGCTTATAAAAACCGTTTCAATACTTCAACACACTATTCAGGGTATCAAGCAATGGGTTGGAATGACAAAAATATCCTTAAAACTTTAAAACAAGATATTTAACATATTCCCGTTACTGTTAATGTAGAAAATTGTATAATTTTTATTTATGGTATAGGGACTTCTTCACGCGAAAAATGGCATTATGCAGGTTCAGGTTTTCAATCATATCTTCTTCATATGTATGAAAGAAAGCAGTCAATTTTTGTATCATGGATTGAGTAAAAAAAATGCATTGTTTAAATTTACCGAGAATCTGCTTTAATAAAATAATTTAAAGGCGCAACGCCAGATGAAGTGTGGGAAAAAACAGGACAACTGAAAAAATTTACCGGCACACAACTTTATGGTCTTGATAATCCAATTACAAAAAATCTAATTCAGCAGCATCGAACTCAATGCACTCTTAATGACTGGAATGATGAATATATTTTAGAAAGGTTATTTGATTATCATGTAAAAAGAAGAACTCTGGCAAATGCTAATTGGAAATATTTTTTTACAAGTTGGATTAAAACTGAAAATCCAATAATTGAATTAGAACCTACTTTGCATGCTATATATCCAAAAGGATATGAATTTAGTGAACGTGAATTAAGTGCGTGGCAAACTATGCTAAAAGCAGTTGGTGCAATAAATATAACTCCTTGGTTATCTGAAGAATCAAAGGTCGGTAAATTTGTGATATTTTTATTGTTATTTTTTTTATCTTCAAACACTAAAATAAATATTTTTTTATTAGCGTCAATTATGGACAAAATTACCAAATAAAGAAGCAGATAAGGTAGCATTTGCTACTTTATATAAAAGTGGTTTTCTTACTAGTATTCCAAAGTAGAGCTCCGAACAGGTCAGCCAAATTCAGGTAACCTGACCTGACCTGACCTGAAATTCAGGTCAGGTATGAGATTTTTAAAAAAAATTCAGGTCAGGTATGAAGATTGACCTGACCTGATTGACCTGTTGACCTGAAACTATTAATTCTACTATATAATAAAAGTGAGTTGCAGTATTGCGATTCACTTTTTTATATAGATTCTATATAAAAAAAGTGAGTTGCGGTATTGCGATTCACTTTTTTATATTGATTTTATATAATAAAAGTGAGTTGC